GATTGAACTGAATGACATGTCCTACCTTCTTCGGATAGCCTGGGCTGCTGACAGGCCCACTGTCAGGCAGGCTACCCTACGTCTTGGTGGTTGCTGCTACCTCGCTGTGTGACCTTGGGTGAGTTGCTTTCCCTCTCTGGGCTTCACTTTATACCTCTGTAAAATGAAGAGTTGAATAGACTTCCTAAGAATGTGCCTTTCACTTCTAGGCTGAAGGATCAGATCCTTATTATTTTTCCCTGCCCTGGGCCTGACACCTAGAAGCCTCTCAATAAGTATTTCATTGAATGAGTGAATGAATAAATGAATAACAATGTGATGGTTTGTTATTTTTTTTCATCAGCTGTGTTTTTCTACAGAGCCCATGGAAAAGACTTACGGCGTATGACCTCATCGGAGACTTGTACATGGGGCCAACCCCTCATTTTCCCACAGGAAACCCACACTGTAATTAAGGGCTGACCCTGAACTTGAATCTGAGTTTCCTCTTTCTTTCTACCTGAGATTTCTTCAACAGAGAGCCATCTCTCCAGCCCGGCTGGCAAGGAGACAGGTGATGTTACAGGAAAAATACACAGCTTGTGCCCTTGGAATTACCGGAGTTCAAAGCCTGTGCGGCGTCTACCCACCATCTGACCCGGGTCGAATTCTTCAGTTTCTCTAAGCCAATTTTCTCATCTGTAAGATGGGGAAGTGTGACCAGTTCTGAACCTACATATACCTCACTGGGCTTGAACAGGCCTGAACAGACATGTGGGGCTTAACTAGCTACCCATCCTTTCTGCCGCTCTCCCCCATTCTCCTTCTAGCCTCCAAAGTCCTTGGTGGAGGAGGAAGTGGAGACAGAACCTTTGGTGTTGGGTGAGGTACGTGAGGAGGCTGATTTCAGAACCTCCAGGAAACAAAGCTTTAGTGTTCCAAGGGCAGTGCCCGCCTGCGCCTCCTCCTCACGGGGGGTAGTAGGAGTGGGGTGGGGCCGAGGCATTTCCCAGCACAGCTCAATCACATCTCCCACGCCTGCCCTTGTGACCTGCTCCCTGGAAAGGAAGAAATGACCCAGGAAGAAGGGAGGGCATTTGAGATGAGTACCTGAACTGATGGCCTAGAGAATATTTGCATGACAAAGCTTCTTGCAAAATCTGGGTAGGACTTCCAGTTAACCCCCTGCAGGAGGCTTGGGGAAGTCGTGCTCTGAACCCACACACACCAGGTCCCCTTTCTGTTTTGCCCTATTTGTTTTTGCTAGTTCTGCCACAGGGAGAAGGTGTCCTCTGGATGGGTTCCCCTCCCTCTGTCACCTGGTGCCGGCACTTCTGGGTGTCTGGGTCTTTCTGAAGCCATTGCAATCACATTTCCCCTGGATGTGAGACTGTGTTGCGTTTGTTCTGACTGTCCTCTTGTAGAAGAGAGGGTAGCTTTGCTTTTCTCTCCATCATACCTCTGGAATGCACTTCTTTTCCACACTCCAGCCTTTGACTCAGTCACCTCCACATCACCCTTTCACCAAACTTCTCTGTCTGCTTTTAAAGCCAAAGTCAACTTGACTAGACCCTTTGCTCACACTGCCATTTGCTGAACTAGCTTTGAATTCCAGTTATTCCAAGGCACAACATGTGGATTTTCCTTTTCTTTTTTTCTTTTTGTGATACAGAGTCTCTCTTTGTCATCCAGGCTGGAGTGCAGTGGCACCATCATGGCTCACCGCAGCCTCGACCGCCTGGGCCCAAGCAATCCTCCCGCCTCAGCCTCCCAAGTAGCTGGGACTACAGGCACGTGCCACCATGCCCAGCTAATTTTTGTATTTTTTTTTGTAGACATGGGGTTTCACCATTTTACCCAGGTTGGCCTCAACGCCTGGGCTCAAGCGATCTGCCCTTCTTGGCCTCCCAAAGTGCTGGGATTATAGGCGTGAGCCACCACGTCTGGCCAGATTTTCCTTTAACATCACCTGCCTCTCCATCACTGATCTGGGTGTGATGGGTGTGTATGTACCAGTGATGGATGATCTAGTTTTGATCAGTTTCATAACTTATCCCTTCTTCAAGAAGCCTCTTTTCCCTCTAATATAACATAGGTTTGTGTCTTTCCTTGTTTTTATCACTCTCTGTAAGAATTTAATTTAGTTGTTCACTTATTTATTCCATCTCCCCACAAAAAAGGGACTTTGACTCTCACCTTCATTATTATATCCCCAGCGCCTAGCACAGTACCTGGAGCTTACCAGGTGCTAAATAGATGTTTATTGAACGAATGAATGAATGGTCACCACTGCTTAATCTAGAGACAGAAAGCTACCAATTCACATTCTTCATAACGCCTCTGGGACAGGCACTATCCTTTTTATACCACAGACCATCAAGAGTATTGACGGGTAGAATGATGTTGGCACGTATGTGCAGGCTAATTAATTCCACCGGCTTGGGCGGCTTGCTGTTATACCAAGCTTTTGGTTAGGGCTTTGTGGGTGAGCCGTCTGGAACTTGATTCAGCACAGTTTGGGGAAGGAGTCCGTCTGCCCACCTTCAAGAGCACTGTTGACCTGCATTTACTTTGTTGGCAGTTTAACATTATCCATCAAATGAAACCAGCCAATGTTGACTGAGCCCCTGTTGAGAGGACTAAAAAATAAAAAAAAGCAAGAAAGCACGTGATATACTCCTTGATCCCAGAACACATAAAATTAATGGGGGGAGCCAGAAATGTACACATCTTAATAACCACTGGTGAAAGACAGTATGTCTCGGTGTCAGATGAGTGGAGTGCATGATAATGTAAGGGCAGTTTTGAGAAGACAGCCATCGCGGGGATGGGGTGGGAGGGAAGGTCATCCCAGGAGCCTGAAGTACCTGCCTGGCACAAGGCAGGGCACACAAGAGGCACTCTGCAAGGACAAGCCCAGCAAAGTCCAAAGAGCATTTCTGGCAGATGGGATGGTGTGAGCAATGGTGGTGGTGGTGGGGTCATCACAGTGCGAGGTTGTAAGGACCTGGACCAGGCTGGGAAGAATGGAATAATGGAAATATTAGACATTTGAAAGCCATGCGTCACAAACACTCAGAGGGGTAAAGGGGACAGAGCAAAAGAATAAAAAATGTGTCTAAGCTTTGAACCCTGATGTCTAGGAGACTTGGAAAAATCACAGGCCTCAGCAAAGAATCCAGCAGGAAAAAAATGATTTGTGTGTAGTATCTTATTTTGGATTCTTTTCAAGGCAGAGAAGTGTTTGTGTACAACTGGATTTGTGAGTTTATCTTTGGAAGCACAAGGAGTGAATTGGGAGGGAAAAAAGTCATTAAGTGGTGGCGAATGAGAGGTTATGCTGTGGGCATACAGGGCTGAATCTCACTGGGGACCCTCCGGGCAACTCAATAAAATACACTTCAGAAGTGCCAAATCAGGCCAGGTACAGTGGCTTACACCTGTAATCCCAGCACTTTGGGAGGCTGAGCCGGGAAGATTCCCTGAAGCCAGGAGTTAGAGACCAACCTGGGCAACATAGCAAGACCTCATCTCTACAAGACAAATTTTGAAGTTAGCCAAGTGTGGTGGCATGTGCCTGTAGTCGCTGGTCCTACTACTTGGGAGACTGAGGTGGGAGGATCACTTGAGCCCAGAAATTCAAGGTTTTAGTGAGCTAAGATTGCACTACTGCACTCCAGCCTGGGTGACGGGTGACAGAGACCCTGTCTCAAAACGAAAACAAAAACAAAAACAAGATTGCCCAATCAAAGGATGAAAAAGATGGAATATTTATCTAATGACTCCCTTCCTTGAGGGTTGTCCTTAGAGAGGGTAAACCCCTGGCACTTCTGAGATGCTTCTGCAAAGAACTAAACAAGCCCAAAGAACAGCAAGAAAAATAAAAGAAAGAAAAAAAACAAGAGTTACAGGTGGCTGAAGCAGGAGGTGGACACTTGCTGGAATTGTCCGCTGTGGCTGCAGGGCAATATGGCAGCAAGGGGCCATTGGGTGGGGCGTCATCAGTGGGTGGTTATAGAAGCTTGTTCTTAGACAGCCTGGGGTTCAGCTGATGTAGACATGTCTAACGGGCAGGCAGGAAGGCAGACCTGGAATCAGGCCAACCGCTTCGTTGGCAGGATTGGGTATGAGAGGGAGCAAGGTACTGAAGAAAGGAGACCACAGGACAGCTCAGGACTAGAGCCTGGGATGCATCCTACAGGTAGGGGGTGGGAAGTGAGCATAGTCAGTGGGCAGAGACCTTGTGCCTGGCACACGATGGCAAAAGCCAAGGGAAAAGGGGATTTCAGAAAAACAAACTGCAGAGAGGGCAAAACTAAGAAGGCTAGTACCAGCACCCTGGATTCGGTAGTTAGTGGCTAGCAGGTTCCTGGGGCCCTGGAGAGGACACTGTTTTTTGTTTTGTTTTGTTTTGGTTTTGACATGGAGGCTCGCTCTGTCGCCCAGGCTGGAGTGCAATGGTACCATCTCGGCTTACTGCAACATCCGCCTCCCGGGTTTAAGTGATTCTCCTGCCTCAGCCTCCCAAGTAGCTGGGACTATAGACATGCACCACCATGCCCAGCTAATTTTTGTATTTTTAGTAGAGACGGGGTTTCATCATGTTGACCAGGCTGGTCTCAAACTCCTGACCTCAAGTGATCCGCCCTCCTCGGCCTCCTAAAGTGCTGGGATTACAGGCCTGAGCCACTGCACCCAGCCGAGAAGACACTTTTAAGGGCATGGTAGAGGTAAGTAAGAGTCAGAATGTAGGGACTCAAGAGATGAGATGTCCCCTGGAGGCAAAGAAGGATGAGTTCATTTGATGAAGCCAGGAGGAAGGAAGGAGGAAGACGGCGGAAAGGGATGCGTGACCCTGTGCAAGTTACTCTGAGCCTCTGCTGTCTCGTCTGTAACACAGTAATAATCATATTTCCTATCTCTTAGGGTTTCAGTGAATGTTAAAGGTTTATAAGTGCTTAGCACAGAGCTGAACATTTAGTAAGTGCTCAATGAATGCTTTTTATCATTTATTATTGAAGGGAGAAGAAGAGGATGGAGAAAAAACTGGAGCATCTCGTGACATGGAAAGAAAGGTCTGAACTCTGACGATCCCCTCACGTGATTATATGCATGAGGACTCACTCTTCCAATTGTTTGAAAATTGAATGGACTGGCTCACACCTTCTGAAATTTCTTGGTAACCCTGGAGTAGCCATTCCATTAAAGAATAGCGTGTTTTTGGCTGAAATCTGTGACTGCTTGTTTTTGAGTTATTTTAATCTCTGTGTCAAGCATGAAAACCTTAGCAGCCTGGGATTTATAATTAGATCCCACTGGCACGCCCTCTCACCTCTCCAACATGCCACAGTGCTTTGGCTCTCTCCTTGTGCAAACCTCCCTTTGATATTTTTGGATCTCGATACCAAGTGTATCTACGTATTTTAACCAACTGTAGATATCTGCATGTCCTGTGATCTGAGGCATTCGCTCAATGTGGGGCATCAGGCCAGCCATGAACTTCCTTTAAAATTTCCTTTGTGTCAAATGATTCCCTAATACTATAGCTCCCCTGAACTGCTAGATTTATGAAAGTTCTGCACAACATACAGCTCACAGAAAAAAAAAAAAAGAGTATTGCAAGACCAGATATAGGATATCATTTGATTTGTTTAAAACACTCTGTCCAAGGGGTTTTGACTTGCTAATTTAAAAATAATCCTAAAATTATGTACAGTTGACCCTTAATATCCATGGGGGATTAGTTCCAGGACCCCCTGAGGATACCAGAATCCAAGGATGCTCAAGTCCCTGACATAAAATGGCTTAGTGTTTGCATATGACCTACTCACTTCTTCCCATATACTTTAAATCATCTCTAGATTACTTATAATACCTAACACAATGCCTGTGCATCACTTCATTTGTGTGGATTCAATGTAGTACTTGGTGCGAAGAAAATTTAAGTTTTGCTTTTTGGAACTTTGTGGAATTTTTTTCTGGAATATTTTTGATCTGCAGTTGGTTGAATCTACAGGTGCAGAACCATGGACATAGGGGGCTGACTATGCATATTTATATCCACTTCCAAAATTAAGAATAAAAATAATGCACATCAGCGGTGCAGATTCCGATGCTCGGTGAACAGTATGAAGTCTTCCATTTTTAATGAAGTCTCAGGTGATGCTGATGTTGCAGCCCTGTCCAATAGAATGTTCCGTGATGGTGGAAAGATTCTTTATCTGCTCTGTCCAATACATAAGCCACACCTTTCAAACAAGGGGGAGTGGGATGGGCAATGGAAGAGCCCAGACAGGGTAGGGAGGGGGCAGAAGGAAGGACAGCAGAACAGGTAGGCTCATTAAGATCTCTAACATTTATTTAATGCATGTAATGGGCAAGGCAGTGTGCTGGGTGCTTTATACCTGTTCAGTCACATTCTTACATCAACTTGTGCAGAGCATCTACTCTTCTTGGAAAGATCCTCGGTGCAGCAGGTACAACGATGTAAAAAGATCCAGTCCTTGCTGCTGGGAAATTTACAGACACGTTATCTGAAACTGTGGAGGAGGGTGAAGGTTCTGCGAGAGGAATCTACATTTGAACCCTGGCCCTTCTGTTTTCTCTGCAACATTAAGCAAGGTGCTTCATTGCTCTCAGTTTTCATTTCTTTGTTTCTAAAATAGGGTTAATCATGGCACCTACTGTTGGCTTCTTGGAGATTATGTGACGGGATACATTGTAAAGGTTCAGGACAGTATCTGGCACCCAGCAAGCTCTCTGACAAGACCAGCGCCTATGAAGGTGTTGGTCCTTCCCGTGAAGACAAGTGTATGCTGGCACCAAGAACTCTGATCCAAGTGCCACAGTTAATTTCCAAATACCTCATAAGCCTCAACTATGTGCAGTACTTTAAATGGTGGGGACAGGAGGATCATGACAAAGAGGAATAAAATGCAAGACCTCAAGAAACTTAGTTTAGAAAGGGACTCAAAGTGCTTGGTGGTTTAATGGAGTTCTCTCAGTTGCTGGGGATTTGGGAAGACTTGACGGAAGAGGTGGTGAGTGAGCTGCCCCCAAAAAGCAGATAGAAGAAGAGGACAAAGCTCCATAAGCAGAGAAGCCACAGTGAGGACTAGAGAAGTTGGGGTCTTTTTGGAAATATTAAATATTCCAATTTTCCTGGAGCATGGGACACGGGTTATTGGGGAGCACAGGAGAAAAGATTGAAAAAGTAGATTGAGGTTAGGCTGTAGAAGGCATTGATGCCAGGCTGTTGAGTTTACATGTGAATTTGTGGGCAATGAGGGGCTTCTGAAGTTATTTTTCCTCTGCAATTTTCATTTATTTTCACCTGAAATGTAATATGCTAATTCTAAATTTAATTGTAAATGAAGAGGTCTAAGAATAGTCAAAAACTCTTGAAGAATACAAAGTGAGAGAAGTTCAAAATTAAAATTAAGGTGTAACAAATGAATGGGCTTTGCGCGGCAGCTCACACCTGTAATCCCAGCACTTTGGGAGGCCAAAGCGGGTGGATCACCTGAGGTCAGGAGTTCCAGACCAGCCTGGCCAACACGGCAAAACCCCATCTCTACTAAAAATATAAATATTAGCCAGGCATGGTGGCACGCATCTGTAGTCCCAGCTACTCGGGAGGCTGAGGCAGGAGAATCGCTTGAGCCTGGGAGGCAGAGGTTTCAGTGAGCTGAGATTGCAGCACTGCACTCCAGCCTGGGGGACAGAGTGAGATTAAATCAAAAAAAAAAGAAAAGAAAAGAAAAAAGAAAACAAGGTATTAGAATTAAGACAGCATGATAATGGTACAGAGTTAGAAAAACTGACCAGTGGAACAGAATAGAGAGCCACGAATCTACTCAAAAAAGGAGAAAATTTGATACACGAGAGAGGGTTGATATTGCAATTGTTTTTATCACCATATATCCATATATATGCATATTTATATTAAACACATATGTAACTTTTAAAATAACATCTCAATTTTAGAATAGATTTACAGAACCATTGCAAAGATAGTACAGAGAGCTCCCATATACCTACTGATATGGTCTCGCTGTGTCCCCACCCAAATCTCATCTTGAACTGTAGCTCCCATAATTCCCATGTGTTGTGGGAGGGACCCAGTGGGAGATAATTGAATCATGGGAGTAGTTCCCCCATACTGTCCTCCTGGTAGTGAATAAGTCTCTCATGGTTTTATAAGGGGTTTCCTCTTCCACTTGGCTCTCATTTTTTCTTGCCTGCTGCCATGTAAGATGTGACCTTGCTCTTCCTTTGCCTTCCACCATGATTGTGAGGCCTCCCAGCCACCTGGAACTGTGAGTCCATTAAACCTCATTTTCTTTATAAATTACCCAGTCTTGGGTATGTCTTTATTAGCAGCGTGAGAGCCAACTAATACGACCACACTCAATTTCCCTTATTATTACATCTTACATTAACATGGCACATTTGTAGCAATTATGAATCAGTATTGGTACATTACTATTGACTAAAGTCCACACTTTATCAGATTTCCTTAGTTTTACCTAATGTCCCTTTTCTGGTCCAGGATTCCATCCAGAAGACCACATTCAGTCATCAAGCCTCCTCAGCCTTCTCTGAGCTGTGACAGTTTCTCAGACTCTCCTGGGTTTTGGTGAACTTGACAGTTTTGAGGGTTATTGATCAGGTGTTTTGTAGACTGTCCCTCAGTTGGTCACTGTGTGCAGCCATTGCTTAAGAAGTGGGGATTTATACTCCACTTCCTGGAGGGCAGAGTATTTACATACATTTTTTGAAATTCTTCTGCACAGATTTCTTTTCTCCTGTGTATTTATTTATCCAATCACCTAATTATGTCAATACGAACTCAGGAATTTTTTTAATACTTTGGTTATAGTCTAATACCACTTTACTTCAGTTGTTGCTCAAATGTTTCCCCCACTTTGGCAATTAAGAGCTCTTCCAGTTGGTTTCTGTGTCCCTCTGTCGTGGCCCCACCATTCTGTGGTGTGTGTGCTTGTGTGTCAGTGTTTTAGCACTTTCTTACTTTCTGACACTACAAGGTGCTCCAGGCTCATCTTGCATATTTCCTGCCCCAGTCCTAGAATCAGCTGTTTCTCTAATGAGCTCTGGTTCCTTCTGTTGGACAATAGTATAAGAAACAAACCTAGGTGCTAAATGATTGCTTCTGGACCCTCTCAGCAGAGAGAGAAAGGAAATATATGTGTATGTGCTAATGCATGTATATATACATTTCTTATGTTTACCTCTATCTAGCTATGTATGTATGTATGTTTGTATCTGTCATCTCTATGCTAAGCTAAACCTGGGTTTATACCTCTCTGGATGTTTTAGGAGCAAGGAAGAGATATGATTCCAGCTTTACCTGGGGAAAATCAATCTCACAGCAATGAGAAGAAAGAAATGACTAGTTAAAATTAATTTCCGTATTTTTCTAATTATTCAAGTGGCTAATGTTTGCTGTGCAGAAATTTAAGAAGATTGAAGACTAGAATGAAGTACAATGCAGGAGAAAACAATAACCATGCAGAGTCAGCGATAGGCACCCATACCATTTTGAGACAGCTGGATGCCCTTTCGCCTGCTAGGAACATGCAGCCCGCATTCTGGGAAGTGGGGAGAAGGTCAGGCAACTCCTAGCAGCAAAGCTGCTTTATCCTCAACATCCTGTAGGGGAGGGTTTAGGGAGGTCGGATATCCCTGCCTTTGACATTCACCTTGGCCTCAGTTTTTCTCTTACCTGGAAGCAAGAGAGGAGTTGATTGTGAGTTCAGAGTGGAAATGGTGGCCAATCGAGACCCTGCACTGCCACTGACTCTCCGGGAATGTCAGCACCAGTGAAAGCCAGGATTCCAGGGCCAGACCTGAGCTTGCCTGTAGCCTGGGACTTGAATGGGGGAAAACTTGGGCACAGTGGCAGGTGGAAAATCAAGTCTGTGCTTCAGGAGCATCTAGAAACGCCCTGTTTACCTTCTCCCCTCCCCAACCCCATTTACCCAGGTGCCTCCTGTTACTTCCAATACTAATGCCTTCTTTTATTTTTTTGAGACAGAGTCTCACTCTGTTGCCCAGGCTGGAGTGCAGTGACACAATCTCGGCTCACTGCAACCTCCACCTCCCGAGTCCAAGCAATTCTCATACCTCAGCCTCCCTAGTAGTTGAGACTACAGGTGTGCACCACCACACCCACCTATTTTTTTTTTTTTTTTTTGTATTTTCAGTAGA